CACCGATTGCAACCCAAAGAAGAGTTTTTTCGGATTGGGTTTAGGGTTTTTAGCTGCTTCGATTCTCTCTCTGACTCCATTGGACGCAGACGCAACGAGGATTGAGTATTACGCTACTGTTGGAGATCCTCTCTGTGAATTCAGCTACGCAAAATCAGGACTTGGTTTTTGCGATATCGATGTTGGTTTCGGTGACAAAGCTCCTCGTGGTGTACTCGTCAATGTAATCTCTCTAACTTTCCCTTCTAAATCGATTTTGATTGTGAATTGCCAAAAGAAAAAACTTAAACCTTTCACTGAATTGCTACAAGGTCTCTCTGTTTAGGGGTTTTGGGTTTATCAAAATATTATAACTTTTGGATTTAAAGTTTCTGATTTTTTTGGGAGGTGATTGTGTTGAGTCCATAAGCAAAGTTGTGAAATTTTTTGATTCAGAGTTTGAGAATTTGGTGTTGGATAGGTACATTACACGGCGAGGTTTGCAGATGGGACATTGTTTGATAGTAGTTATAAGCGTGCAAGACCGCTTACTATGCGAATTGGGGTCGGCAAGGTACAACAGAACCCCGAACTCTTTTGAGTGGATTCTGATGTAATGAAATGAGTAGGATTTGTTTATTATTTGGTGGAGCAATGTAGCTTTGATCTAGATGAAGAAAGTTTTGATTTGACGAGGAAACTAAGATCCTGAAGAACCTTTTGGATTGCAATATAGTGAATTTTAGTTGAAGTTTGTTAGTTTCTTTACTTACTCTTTGTGATTACGGTGAGAAGAACAGCGGTTTCTCTAACGCTTAATTAATGTCGAAAAATTGGATCAGGTTATTAGGGGTCTAGACCAAGGGATTCTTGGAGGCGAAGGAGTACCTCCTATGCGAGTAGGCAAGTACTCTAATTTTCTTGGTTCGATACTTTGATGTCTTTGTTAGGCTGAAACCATATTGGTGCGGTTTTATTTACAGGCGGAAAGCGTAAACTTCAGATTCCACCTCAATTAGCTTATGGACCAGAGCCTGCAGGATGCTTTTCCGGTACTTCTCATTGTTCCTTGTTTATATAATCTTGTTTCCTATGCTCGCAGAAATGTCAAGGAAATATATATCTTGAGTAGTAATCCGACTATCGTATTGGTTTATGCAGGTGATTGTAACATACCTGGCAATGCAACTTTGCTCTATGATATCAATTTTGTTGAGATCTACCCAGGAAGTAACACAAGATGAAGCACAACTCCAATTTCGTTCTGTAAATGGAAGAAGCAACTATGTATATCAGCAGGTGACTCCTTTTCACCATCTTTAGATGACATTCATTACAATTTCTATAACCTAAAACATCGATAATTTTAACTCAAAACCCAATGAAGAACAAGGCACATCTCCTCTACATAAATCTGTTTCTTTGGTTGAGTTATGACCTTGGAAAATCATGTACTTTAGCTTAGGTGAATAAGCGCGTGTTAGGTTAGATTCAGTCTAGGTAAGTGATGCAGATTGTGTCACAAAGATGATGTACAGAGTCTAGAATAAAGTTGCGCGATGTGATTGTTCATCGGCGTCATATCTCTCTATTTGGTCCCCCCACAACAACTCATGAATCTTAAGGCCAAAGAAGTGTAAAGCTTTGGTTCTTAATTTCGAGTTTTCAAAGAAAGTGCACAAACTAATTTTGGGTTCAATTTACAGAGCAATGAAGATTCTTAAAGGTTGGTGTTACTTTGTATGCATCTGGAGAGCAACAAACATATCAGTGAAACTTGTTGAATCAGTCCTTCAAAGAATGGTGTATAGAAACATTATCTAAGCAGTGTATGTTGTGTAGTGGGAAAAAATAGTTTTTTCTTTAGTATATTTGTGTGTATGTTTCTCTAAATTTATCTTTACTACTACCCATTGTTTGGATTTTTCCTTTAGTTGTATTATATAAAAAGAGAGAGTTGGTGAAAAGAGTGAAAATTTTGGGATCCCAAAAAACTACCAAAAAGAGAATGAAACACCTAAACCAAAAAGCAAAAGCCTCAAACTTGAGAGATGGTTCGGTTTGCTTTTAAATTCTTACTCTTCAACCACTTTTCATGCAAAGTGAGAGTTTGAATTCTACAAAAACTGAACGTTTTTTTGGGCAAATACAAAAACTTGAACATGTTTCCATTATGAATAATTCTTTTATATATGTAAATAACATAAAGAAAAGAACAATGACTACTTATAATATCCAATTGATTAGGTTATAGATTAGACATTTATTAACATTAACAAACAACATTCACTAGTACCACCAACAAAAAGCACATGCAAAAAAAAAGACAAAATCATGAAATGAAAAAAACAAACACCAAAATTTATAACTCACATTTATACACATATTATTCCCATAGGATATAAATACATTTATTAATGATCTAATTAAACAAAACTACATAATAGAGCAAGCATTAGGATTATCATCACTAAACAAAGAAGTATAAGAAGGATCATCGTAGTAAACGGCCATCGTCCCGGTGGTGACGTGTGGTTCCACTCTTCTGACGTAACCAGGCGGTGCCTTCTTGTCATAAGCCTGAGTTATGTACGGCTGAGCCACCAAGTTGTACGGTACGTACGGCCATATCTCAGCTTTCTTCCCGGTCGCTATGGCCTTCTTCAAGACCTTGTTCGCTTCCGCGTAACCACTCACTGTCACCTTTTGTTGCTTCTTGTTTATCTCCACCGTTTTAACTCCTGAAAAAAATGTACAAAATATTTTGAATATATTAATTATATATGTTTTTAGATAGGGGTGAACAAACGAGAATTTGGGATGCGATATCGCAAAGTGGGACGAGAACGCGAATTTGGAAAATATAAGCATATGTTTCATTTTTGTCATCTTTGTAACGCGGAAATGGAACGGGATGCAAATTTTCATATTGCTAAAAATATTTTTAAACATTTATATTGATCATAATATACAAGAGCCGCCTATGTAAAAGTAGCTTAGTTTGAAAATACATTTTCATATGAGATGGGACGAGAAAAAATTGTCATCCTTTAATTAGGTTTAGATTGTAAAGGAAGAAG